TCTATCTTTCTCTCTGCATTTCCTTCTCTTTGAAAATTTGGCTTTTGAATAAAAAAAAAAAAATTTTTTTTTAAATTAAGTATCTTGGGTAAATAAATGGAAAGCAGAGATTGTGCGAATCCTTATCCATATCGGTGCACATACCTATCTACCCTCACTGGTCCAGTACATGCTGATGATTTCTTAAACTGAACTCCTGCAACTGATTCGGTGCTATGCTCAGACCAAACACACTAACACATGAAAAGCCTTAAAAGTCTCCTAGGAGGAGACTATAACCAACAGCTAGCGCAAATGGTTAAAACCATACCAGCATCATCTTTCTAATATAAATCCGCAGGCCACTTTCTATGTTGTTTCCCAAAGGACTCCAGCTGCCTGTCCACTCATTTACATCCTTTGTTTAGTTTCTTTCCTTTCCCAGTCTCAATTCACTGAAATGGCTCCCAAGGAGACTGTCAGAACTGCAATCCTTGCCCCTAGTCTGTTCCTAAGAAAAACCACCGAGATGCCCGGTCTAGACAAACAGGCAGGCAGTGAGCCTTCCATGTGTTCATCGGCTTTGCCACTCAAGACAGTAGAGTCTTGGGAAAATGTAAAAGGCTTTCATCATTTGAGTTATAAATTACAGTGCCTATCTATATTTCAAGTTAGTGACGATAGAAGGGATCCTAGAGCCTATCACTGCTTTCACAACTGGTCAGGGAGCCTAGGTCTGTGACCCACGAGGCATCATGAGCCCCACCACATCACTTCCCCAAATTTTATCAGAGACTTCATGAACTTTTTCTCCAGCACAAACTTAATGATGTCAGTTAGAAATAAGTAAGGACAATGTATACAGTTTCTAACTCTTTTGTGGGGGCGGCAAATAAAAGTAATGATCTCCATAGACTGTTTTCCTCAATAAAAATTCAACATAAAAATAATATATTGTGGGCCCAGCACTGTAGCTTAGTGGCTGAAGTCCTAGTCCTGCATGCACCAGAATCCCATATGGAGATTGGTTCTAGTCCCAGCAACCCCACTTCCCATCCAGCTCCCTGCTTGTGGCCTGGGAAAGCAGTCGAGGATGGCCCAAAGCCTTGGGACCCTGCACACACATGGAAGACCCAGAAGTTCCTGGCCCCTAGCTCCAGATCAGCTCAGCTCTGGCTATGTGGCCACATAGGGTATGAAATCAGTGGACAGAAGATCTGTCTCTCCTCTCTGTAAACTTGACTTTCCAGTTAAAATAAATAATCTTTTAAAAAGATACATAGCAGTGGGAAAAAAATCCCAAGTACAGAAGTCTAGGGAATAAGCAATCAGTTGCCCACTCACAGCCCATTTCGATTTAAGTAAACTTAAGAGTGTACTTCCTTGCCTTTTGTGGCACTTACATACTGGCTCCTAACTCCATCAATTGTTACAGCTGTATTAAAACATCAGAAAATTGTTGGTAAAATCATACTTAGGACATCTCCACAGCAAGAACTAGGTATCACATCCTTAAAGACAATGAAAATATGAAACAGGTCTAAACACAGAAAACACGGTACTGATTATTTAGTAAAAGACGCACCAACAAGCAAAGCAGGGTTGAGGAGGCCTATACCACCTGCATTCCCAGCGACTACAGAGCACTGGCTAAAGCACGCCTTCAGAGACCAGGACTTGCTAGATGCCCTGCTTGCATTTCTAACATGTGCCAAGGTGATACAATGCTACAATCTTAGTTCAAGGACACACCTGAAGTATCCCTGGTCTACACTAAAGTCTGGGCATTACTAGGGAATGAGAAAAATATGGAAATGATGTGGGGAGCAGCCAATGCAGACAAAGCCTGTGGATTATGAACCCCTCATTTCTTCCTTCATCATCCCCTCCAAAAGGGTTGGGACTTCACCGATGCTTTAGGCCACTTTGACCAGTGTCCTCAGCCAAACCCTTCAGAGAAGGTGAGCTAAGATGCCACAGCTCTTTAAGATGGAGGTTAAGGTTTTACCAGAGCAGAAAAATAGCATTTTTAATACACTGTGCCAGGAGAGCAGGTTTTCCATTTGGGAACGAAAAATAAAGTTAGATGCCTCCCTCAACACTTTTAACAACTCTAAAAGGTAAAACAACAAAGCTGTTTCGAGAAGATACAAAATTATACTAAAGGGTTTAAGGTTGGAAAGAATCCTAAGGCACAGAGGACACTAACCTTAAAATAAAGACTTGTTCAATATCACAAGAGGCCGACGCTGTGGTCCAGCATGCTAAGTGTCTGCCTGTCACACATACATACCATATGGGCACTGATTAGAGATCCAACTGCTCCACTTCCAATCTAGCTCCCTGTCAATATACCTGGGAAAGACGAGGAAAATGGTCCAAGTGCTTGGCCCCTGTGCCCATGTGGGAGATTTAGAAGAAGCTCCTAGCTTCAACCTGGCACAGTCCTGACTACTGCAACTATCTGAAAAATGAACCAATGCATGGAAGATTCTGTCTCTCTTCCCCCCTCTGTAACTCTGCCTTTCAAATTAAAAAACTTTTAAAAGATAAGAAACAATTAAAAAAAAAACCAGCAATAAAGAAAAACAAGAGAGTAAATGTAATGCATTTGTAACATAGAAATAATTATCTAGAATATTCAATCAACTTTCACAAATTAATGAGACAAAGACAATAACCTAATAGAAAAAAAATGAGCTAAAGGATTAGAATGAACATTTCATAACAGAAATCCCAAAGGGCCAAAAACAATAGAAAAATGTATTCAGTTTTAAATGGTTAGGAAACTGTAACTTATAACCACAAATACTGTTGCAGTACTATAAAGTTGCAAAAATGAAAAAAATCTAGTAAAATCAAGTACTGACAAGATAAATTCTCACACAAAGAAAATAGTATTTCTAACACAGCTGAAGAGACATCAACTTCTACATTATCATTTTAGAGTATCTGAGTGTGTACCAGGATGTAAAAGAATACTCACAGCAGTACTATTCACAGTCACTAATAACATGGGGGGAAATTCAAATGCCCATGGACAGTAAAAACATACGGTTTAAAAAGAAATATTTTATTGCAAGAAAAAAGAATTCAATATAAATGTGACAAATGTGCACACACAATGATAGAAATTTATATCAAGCTCAAAGTTAGGCAAAAAATAACTACATATTTTTGAGGTATAAATGTATACTGGTAGCATAAAAAGGAAACTGTTACTATAAATATTAGCTGTTGGAAGACGGAGAGCGAAATTCTGCACATGCTGAGGAAATCTGGGAGGCACTAACAATGTTCTTTGTTTGGTATCTAAGAAGGTTTTACTACTGTTTGTTTTTTAGCTAAGTGTGTACTACACATGAGACTAACATGTTTTCAGAAACAGGGGAAATTAGGTTATCGTGCTTTCCGTCTATTGAAAAGAGCTTGATGATGAAGTGAAAAGTAAAAGGGGAAAAGTGTTTTGCTTTTTCTGTAAACACAAGTCCAAGTAATGTTTGCAAGTCTTACACAGGATTTTTTTTTCCCCTATTTGGACAAAAGCAAGATTAGGAAATTCATCTCTAAGTCAGCTAATGCTTCTAAAAAAAATCTATGGGTGTCAATAGATTTTCATTAATAGACGAGTGACTATATAATGAGTTATTCTGACCAACAACCATTATTGTTTAGCAGCAAATCCTGACATTTTGAAAATCTTTTGCCCTTTTCCAAAAGGAATGTTCTTTGTTTATGCTAAACCTGTGCAATTTCCTTAGCTAAACGTCTTTTCCTCTCTCTTCTATTTGAATAGAAAATAACCACAATATAAAGAGAAGTCAATTAACCTGGGGCTGTTCCAGACCATCAAAGAAATCAAATCCCATCCGTTCTATGTGCAGGAGCTACTGATCATAATTTATAGACAATGTGCCTAAATTTAGATGTTGATTCTGTAATTGATTTCTTCCTTAATCCTACAGTTTTTCAATTTTATGAAAAATGAAAGGAAGGGGGTAGGTATTTAGGCTAGTGCTTAACTCACAGATTCAGATGCCAGTTAAGACCCATCCAAGGACCATGTTGGAATATTTAGGTTCAGGGTCTGGTTCAGATTCCAGACTCCAAATTTCTGCTCATGTGTGCAACGGTGACAGCTCAGGTAACAGGGTTCCTGCCAACTATACACAAGACTCCTCACAGTTCCAGCCAGCTGCGGGCAAGGGGGAGAGAGCCAGGGAATGGAGCTTCATTTAGCTCTCTCAACAGAAAAGCAAACATATCTTACAGAAGTAAAAGGGAAAAGCTGGGATAATCAGTTTCTCAAAATGAAAATTAAAAACAAACACACAAATTAAAATTAATATGAGGAAAAAAAACTCTCTCCTATGACCAAAACATAAAAACTGAGTTCAGACGCTGGAAGATATTAATAAGAAAATGTAGTTAAAGCATCACATTTTTTTAAACCTAAAATAATTGTAGTCATATTAACCTAAGAATTTCAAAACTGATTTTAAAACTTTTTTATAATCCTACTAATATCCATTAATAATGTGGAAAAAAAAGTACCTGAAATGTATTTATCAATCAACTCCTATGAAAGAACAATTCTTTGTACAATTACTTCTTCAAATCAATAAAATTCAAATAGTCAGTAATTCATACATTCAGTAATTTCTCTAAATCCAGTAGGTTTTTCATCACAAAATCATGCTTCCTCATTACTAACATAGGACCTAAAGCAGCTAGCAGCCACAGAAGCAGTCAATATCAGTGCTAAGAGTGGCTTGAAGCCACCTTAGCTAGTCTAGCAGCTTGATCTTCAGCTGCTGCTCCCTTCCAGATTATCATCTTAGAGCATCCCTGTGTGCTCAAAAAAAAAAAAAAAAAAAATCTGAAAATTTCAAGAGAAATACCTACCCCCAGCATTTAAAAATTTCTTAACAATAGTAAATATCTATGGGCTTTATTTTAAAGACATTTAATAAAAAAGAACCCAAACTCTTTAAAATTTAACAGCTGAAATTTTTACTTACATATTCAGGTTTTAGTTTTTTATCACCTCCTCTCACAGCCACCTTTTCTAGTTTATCTATAATGGGCCCAATCATTTCCTCATCTTTAAGCTGAAGTTCTTCATGTATTATTTCTATATCTCGAATAGGATCTACACTTCCTTCAACATGGGTGATATCATCATCTTCAAAAGCACCTAGAAATGAATTAAAGGGAAGCGATTCAATAAACAAATAACACAGATCATTAGGATTAAGAGTAGAGTAGTAAAATTCCTAGAAGGTTCACAAATAGCTATAATAAATAAATTATCCTGAATTCTACACAAGTAGGAAATGGTATTCTCTTTTCTCATTTAGTAATACTTAAGAGTACTAACAATAAAATAATAGTTCAAGAGCCTCAACATTTCAAAAATTGATTGAGATAAATAAAATGATGGTCTTTATAAGAAGAAAATTATATCCCAGAACTACTGGCATTTCCAAGTTTGGTACATTAAAAGACAGTGGATGCCAGGCGTGAGAGCCTGAAGTTCTGAACTACACTATTAGAGTTTCCAAGGGAAACGAGATTTGGGGGCGGGGGGCTCCTGAAATCATCTGGCAGACCTCTTCCCTGCTTCAATCTACTTTAGCACTGTGGTTCTGACGGTGATTAGATAATGAACCACTCAGACACACAATTTACACAGCAGCTAATTTCATCGGCCTGATTTGAGGGTATGGTTTTTAGGGGCTATCAAGGAAGCAGATGAAGGTGCATTTGTCATATATGAGTGACAACCATTCACACTATCTGTTCAAAATGGTGCTGGCCCTTATTAGAAACACATGCTATTATCACATATTTAAAGTGCAGTAGAAGCCATAATTTCAAATTGCCAACTGGAAACATAAGGGTAAAACAACTAGATATTACTGAAGCATGTGTACTGACTTCATGCCCTTTTGAAGACATAATGTGGCAACATAATTCAACTGGGATTTACTCAAATTACCAGATAAAGAACTGTATCACAAAAAATGAACAAATCCCAAGAAATATTATAAGCATAAAGCAATGACATCCATAGGCAACAACACACACATTTACAAACAAATTAAATTAATCAAAACTTTCTAATTATATTATGATCCCCAAAGGGGAAGTTTCCAAACATAAGATACCACTTACTTTACACAGAGGTACAGAAATCATGAAGCAGTTTGAATTTAATAAAAGAAAAGATGAATATGGCTCATTCTTAGTTACAAAGGATAGCCTTATTACAGTTCACAAAGACAGTTTTTACATATAATTTCCAATTATTAAACATAATTACTTATCTTACTGTAGATTGCTCAGTAATAATAAACATACATTGGAATTAAAATATAAGTATTTGTGTGTTTTGGCACAAAACTGACAATTTCTTTTTTTAAGATTTATTTTTACTTATTTGAAAGGCAGTCACAGAGATGAGAGAGAGAGATCGACCACGCTCCAAATGTTACAACAGCTTGGGCTGGTCAAGGCTGAAGCCAGGAGCTTTATCCAGGTCTCACACTTTAGTGCAGGGGTCCAAGGACTTGGACAATATTCTGCTGCTTTTCCAGGCACATTTGCAGGGAGCTGCACTAGAGAGGAGTAACTGGGACCGAACTGGCATTCACAAGAGATGCCAGTGTTAACAGGCAATAGCTTAATTTGTTATGCACAAAATGAGCCTCACAGATTTATATAAACACAATGAGCAATAAACGATAAATTTACCAATAAATATGATATAGCTTCAGCAAACATTCTTCCTTCCTCCCTCCCTCCCTGCTGAGAGGCAGAGAACCAGAGTTCTCAATCACTAGCTCACTAAGCAACAGCTCAGGGTGGCCCAGACAAAGCTGAGAGCCAAGACTCAATACAGCTCTCCTATGTGGGCAGTGACAGGAACCAGATCACTTGCACCATCACTGCTGTCTCCCAGGGTCTCCAGAAGAGTCAGGAACTGCAGCCAGGGATAGCATGTAGATTGATACAGGACAGGGGTGTATTAAACAGCATCTTGATGTCTAAGGTAAATACCCATTTCTATGCAATTCTTCCTAGTTTTTAAAAAGATTTATTTAATTATTTGAAAGTTCCAAGAGAGATAAAGAGACAGACACACAGACAAGGGGCAGGCAGAGATCCTTCCCAAATGCTCACAATAGCCAGTGCTGTGCCAGGTTAAAGTCAGGAGCTAGAACTCCACCCTGACCTTCCATAGGAGAGGCAGGTACCCCAACACTTGGTTCATCATTCAATGGCTTTCCAAGCATATTAACAGGAAACTAGGTCAGAAGCAGAGCACCCAGAGTGCAAAGGGTATTCTGCTACAGGATGCTGGCATTTCAAGTGACAGCTTAACCCACACATACAGTTTTTAAATCCTACGAAAATACAAAAGAAGAACCTATGGAATAATGTTGTTTACTTTTTGTTACGATTTTATGCATCTTACACAAATAGCGTAAAAATTAAGAAAATAAAAATAATTTCTTGGCACTCAATGCAATATAACATGGGGAGTTGTAGACATAACTAAAAAGCTTTGCCACTGAGAATAAAAAAAATTCCAGGTATTTTCTTTATGTAGGAAGCAATGACTATCTTGATGTCCTCAATAACACCCTTACAGTAAATTCATGAGTGAGTTTTGAAGGGCAACGCTTCATTAAAATACTCAATTGAACCATGTGAATAAAAGAGAAGAACTTAGTAAGTATAATTCTCCTAAAAGCAAACAAAGCCTTCTGATGATCTGAGACAATCCATGCAAAAAGCTACAATAAAATGCAAAGGAAGAGGAATTACTTACTTATAACTTTCCATCTAGATAGCACTTTGCCTAGGGTCTGTTAAATAGTCTAAAAAAGGATTTTACTATCCTTTCTCCCAGCAACTCTCATGAAAATATTTAAAACACAGCCTCCACAAACTCTGGATAACACTGTTGCTCCCATACCCTAAAAGGTTAACATTACTTTATTCGCTTTGTGTGGTACAACACACTATCAGAAGAATTTAAACTTTATTTTTGAAAATACATATTTTCCAAGTACCTTTAAAAACCAATCAAGAAGAACATACTGAATTGCTTTGTGATGAGGTGAGGCATAGAACAGCTGTAGACTTCCTACTTCACAGAGGCAAGACTTTAAGAGATCACTTGTCCAAGACTCAAAGACATGCTTCTGGGTCAAGAGATTCCTCCAAACACTTAATGTTATAACACACTTCACTCCTTGGTTTTGTGTGTGTGTGTAACACTTGAGTGGGTTCAGATATGGTCCTCTGAAGTCAGACAGACCTGCTAGCCACAGAATCTTGGACAACTGACCTATATCTAAGGAGCATCTCTTTATTTCTGTTTCCATGTCGCAAAACAGGCTGATACAGCCAAATGCTAGGCAGAGACACAACCATACTAAATGTCTAGCCATGGGGTTGTGCACTGCTGTATTTTTTTCTCCCCATAATGTAGGAATTGATAATTTAGAAGAAATTCAGAGAAACTACTCAAAACATAATTTTGAGGAATATGAGTATATGCTATTCAATTAAAATCTGAAAAGTTTGAAATACCTGTTTAAACATATCCATTCCCTGCCTAGGAATTCTTACTGGTTTACTAGTATATTTTTCTCCTACTCCATGGCCAGTTACTTATTTCAATTTGACTAAATTAACTAAAATAGTATCTAGTTCTAATGTATGTATAAACTAAAAAAACTAAACACTAAAATTATATACTATATTTTGGTGGGAAAGTTACTTCTATTACAGCTCTTTTCAATCCTTCTAACCACGTGAAAGAGAGTTTCAGTTTGACCCAGGGTAGTCTTTAATGTTAAATCACAAAGCTATCTTTTTTTTAAAAAAAAAAAAAGATCTGTTTACTTATTTTGAAAGTCAGAGTTAGAAAGTGAGAACAATCTTCCATCTGTCAGTTCACTCCCCAGGTGGTTGCAATAGTCTGTGGTGCATCAACCTGAAGCCCCAAACCAGGAACTTCCCACACTGCTAGCAGGGGTCCAAGTACTTGGGCTATCTTCCACTACTTTGCCCAAGTCATTAGCTGGGAGCTGGCTGGGAAGTGGAGCATCTAGCGTCACAGGGAAAGGCTTTACATGCTGTATCACAATGCCAGCCCCTAAACACATCTATTTACCAACACAGCAAGCCTTTGTCTCAGGGCTTCTAGTTTAATGACACTCTAGTTTTATCTCTTATTATTTTTAATTTTAACAAGTGATACTAATTTTCCACTATGAGTTATCAGTTTTCTGTTTATTATAGGCAAAAATGAGAAAAAACGTATAAGGATTAAATTTGGATTCCATCTTTTGATAAACTCAGTTCAGTAGGAGAAATGCTTGAACAGACTAACCATTTTCATGGTAGAAGGATGTTAGATGATTTCTATTTTTATTTCCCGTGTGTTGGAGAGGTAGAAGCTGTTGTACAGTATTTGGCTGAGGCTGGCAGAGGGGAATGCCTCCGAGAAGATGGCATTTGAGCCAAGATCAGAATCACCAGATTGAGGCAGGAATGCAATACGGTAGCAGGTTTCATGGAATATCAAAGCTCTAACATGGGAACAAACTTGAAGTATTTCAGAAACAAAAATAAGGTCAGCATAGATAACCACAGCTCACAGCTCAGGATCCTGGCTCCGCCCTCCTTCACTATGCTGTGGGTGGAACTCAAGTAAGTGGACTGAGGTGCAGGTGCTTCACTTTCCCAGCTGCATGGCTGCAGTCAGGGGTTGAGGGTGGAGGAGGGTAGGGGCCAACTCAGGCCTCGTAGCCCACACACCAATGGTTTCAAGGATAGCCCTCAGGCCACCTGGCAGTGTGCTCTGGGAACCTGGGGGCGAGGGGTTACAGAGTCTCAGAAATGAGCTGGGACCTGAGGGTTCATGTCCAGGTAAGGAATGACTTCTCTGGGACTTCCATGGACAAGGCTACTCTACTTGAAGGGCTACAACATGGAATCCACCAGCAACTGTGAGAAAAGCAAATGCGTACTGTGAGACTGGGCCATAAATTCGACAAATACATGAGTAAATCAGGTCTGGGGGTAAAATCTGCAGTGGAATATGTGGGTTTACCCATGCGGAACATCAATCTCCATTGGCACCCGCAAGATCTGTGGCTAGGAATAGGCCTGGTTGGGGAGCTAAGTGAACACCCCAGCTAGGCTAGAATCCCTACTGGAGAAGGCAAGAGC